AGAGAAGAGAAAGAATTGGAGAAAATCACAAAATATAAAGACCTGCAAATAGAAATAGAACAAGTGTGGCAAAAGAAAGCAAAGATAGTACCAATTGATATAGGTGCCTTAGGTGCAATCCCAAAATCTGGAGCACCACTTGAAGACCATTGGTATTGACAAAGTTACCATCAGTCAATTGCAAAAGGCAGCTTTACTTGGAACAGCTTATATCCTGTGACAATACCTTTAACACCATCAAACAACATCTGACTATCCCAGGTCCTTGGGAGGGACTCGATAGGTGGATACAAATGCCAAATCCAGTCTAAACATGTGGCTGATTGTGCGACCATCACCACCACCACCACCAACATAATAATAATAAAATAATAATAATAATAGAATAAAATAAGGAGAGCTAGTTTGGTCTAGTGGGTTAAGGTACCAGGCTAGAATCCAGGAGACTGTGAGTTCTAGTCCAACCTTAAGGCATGAAGGCCAGATGGGTGACTTTGGGACAGTCACTCTCTCTCAGCCCAACTCACCTCACAGGGTTGTTGTGGGGAAAACAGGACGAGGAATAAATATTAGGTATGTTTGCCACCTTGAGTTATTTATAAAAATAATAAAGGCAGGATAAAAAAAAATCTAAAAAAAGAGATACAACTCAGAGTTCTAACAGAATTGAGAAAAAAATAGATATATCAAATAGTAAAAGGACACAAATCTGCCAATAAATCACGGTGATCTCTTTGCTTAGCATATGCCTTGTGTGAAACTTACATTTGTTTCTAATTTGTCAAACCACAATTAAACAAGAAATCCAAGTAATGAAGAAAAACCTAATAGAGAGTAATTCTTAAATGAAAGGTAGCAAAGAATAGTTTACAATTAAGTAGCTTTGGAATTCACAGGACATTACATCAAAGAGTTCATTATCACGCAGCAACTGGCCCACTGCAATGTTCTTCAAATTGTTTCTAAAAAAGAATGCTGTTCTTCATCTATGTTTTGAATCTGTTAGTGCCCTTTGCCCTTTTGCCATAGTTACCTTTAGAATGGAAATGAAACACCTGGGATTGCAAAAACCCTGTCCGAGAAATTCTGCCAAAAATTGTTCTCTCGAGGCAAGTGTTCAAAATAACTTTAAAAACAATTTGCCTGGTACAAATCAAATTAGAAAAATTACACAGCATTAACATTAATAGACCAATATCTGTTATGGTCCATTAATGGACCAAATATTTTGAGATATGTATTATGAAAAAAGACAACCTACTGCAATAACATGTATTTGTTATCTGTTCTTCTTATTCTTATCCCGAATCAATCCACTGCAAGATGAAGGCCTTTTCAGTGAAGCTTATGGACCACAATCTACCAGGCTGGCCCAGTGCAGGTTGGTAGATAGATGTTTTTTGACTTCCCAATCTAGGCCTGAGAGAGACTGGCCCAAAGTCACCCAGCCAACTTCCATGCCTAAGGGAAGACTAGAACTTGGGGATCTGGCTCCTAGTCCAGCACCTTAATCGCTACATCACATTGGCTATTCATTTCTAATTTCCAGATGGACTGTTTTTTGGCTGAAATTCACTATTATTACATAGATATTGGAAGCAGCTTGTATGCATCATCTCAGTAATTATGGGGGCATCTTTCTAGAGTTATCACCTAGAGGCAAGAGAGTATTCTAGCCCCTTACTTTTCAATCTGTATATTAAATCAGTAATTCAGATTCTCACATCTGTTCATCATTCTCCAATATTTGCAGATTGTGTAATTCCAGCTTTGTTATAAGCAGGCAATATAGTAATGTTGTCTGTCTCCCAGGTGGGAATGAGAAGGGCACTGAGGGCATTGGCTTCCTTTTGCCTAAAAGAACAGCTTGTAATAAATTATACAAAAACTAAAGTGTTCATTTTTGCACAACACTACTATAGAATGCATAAATGAACATATAAAGCAAGTATGTACTTATAAATACCTTGGGGTTCAGATCAAACCAAATTAAATCAATTTTATTACAGACCTAAGGCCAGATACAATCAAAACATTTAATAAAAGAACACACACACACAGACACACACACACAGGTATAATAGGATCTAAAAATAATTAAGAACAGAGATATTAAAATAAATCAAAATAAAATACTATTATAAGAAATTCTAAACCTAAGTAATGGTGTGGCATATTTTACAGATAGTAGCACAAAACTGGGCAACTTGGGAAGATATTTTTGAATCCTTGTCCAAAAGAAGTAACATTAAATAGAAATCACACTCCCTACCTGGAAATTTCTTCAAGATCAAACATATCTGATGTCAATCCTTATATAGCGAACAGTATAGTAGCATCTGGCTTAGAGTTTCTATTGAGCTATAACCAAAGGTGCATAGGAGTACCCTTAAAACATCCAAAAAGGACTGCTGAGGGCAAAGCATCCAACCTGGCTAAGGTGAAGGCCTTATGAAATTTCAATATTGTAATGGATGATAAATAGGAGGCTGGAATGAACCTTTTTGGAAGAAAATGATAAATACTGGGGTATAACACCTTACTAAATTTGTCTGGAGATCTATATCCCAAATTCATTGCTTAAGGGCGGTTCTAGCATTATCAAAACCCAGTGAGCACAGACTTTTCATAGAAAAGCCCAGCAACTGACTTTATCCAGGGCTTTTTAAAGCCATGATGATTTAAAACAATCTCTAAATACTAATGGGACCAAACCTATTGGAAGTAGAATTAACTTTAGCCAGAAGGTAAGAAGAAGAAACCATGCTCTAGCATCCACTGAAACTATGCCTGTTTCTGCACACAAGATGGCATTTTTGATACTTTTTGGAACCATCAATATGGCTCTAATAAATGTATTTGAATGGTTTCAATAATATTAAGCTTTGCAAAAGAGCAGATTTGGGAGCTATACAGAAGCTGAGGGACTACCTTAGCTTGAAAGACCTTGCAAGCTGCGGGGATATAATGGATTCCTTTTGAATGGTAAAATCTTACAATAGCTGTAGAGGTATGTGGTCCAACATTTACCCAGTTAAAAAAAAAGAGCATTCCAGGATAAGGAAGCACGGAACTGCACTCCGAGATATTTCAATTTGAGTTCCATTTATTTGCCATTTTTGAATTTTATGACAGTATCGGGCAAAAACTAAGACTTTGGTTTTCTGATAATTTGATAGTTTTTGTTCTGTACAAAATAAAGGTAGTGACCGAAGTGATTTCTCATTCCAACCTGTGAAGTAGACATAATAACTACATCATTGCATAGAGTAGCGCTGGAATCATACGATCAGCCAAAATAGGTGGATGATAGGCTAAAACAGCAAATGCTTGAATTATTGCATTTAGATATAAATTGAAAAGTAATGGAGCTAATATGCAACCTTGTCTTATACCTCTATAAGTTGGGACTGCTTTAGATAAATGTCCCCAAGGGGTACATCTAATTTTCAGGGAGGGGTTTGAATGCAGTGACTGAATAAGCACGAGCAGCCTTTTATCAATAATGGAATGTCTCAGACTGTCCCACAGTCTCTCCCTTGGTATTAGATCAAAAGCTGACTCAAAATCAACAAAGTTTGCAAAAAGAGAGCAAGGAGGGGGCACAGAATATTTTTCTGCCAAACGGTGGAGAACCAAACAATGAACTAATGTTGATCGTTCCTCTCTAAATCTGGCCTGTTCTTCAGCAATGGTATTTTCATTTTGTACCCAATCCACTAATTTTACATATAAAAATCTGCATAAAGTTTATATATTGCATTTAATAAACTAATAGGCTTATAATTTGTATAATATATTTGACCCTACAAATATATTTCCTTTATTTTCATATAATGGTACAACAATGGTCTGATTCCAATCAGATGGAAATTGTCCAGTGTCGTTCACGTGTGTGAACAAGGTGGCCAAAACTAGGGCCCATCAATCTTTATTTTCCCTTATTAATTCTGGGGAGATAAAATACCTCCAGATGCTTTACCTGGTTTTAATTGGGCAATAAGATCTTTAACCTCAGGTATGGACAATGGCGGCCAATTCAGGAGGTCACTATAAGAGGGAATCACATTTGAGATTACAGCAGATTCCCTTTTAAAGATGTTATAGCAGTGATCCTCCCATTTATCTGCAGATATTTGTGTGATAGGACCAAAACATCTATCTGTAAGGGACTGATTAATTAAGCGCCAGAACCAAGTGGATTTCCTAAGTTTTGTTGCTGAAATTAAATTAAATTTATTGATTTATTTATCACATTTATATAGCCACCCATCTCACACAAAGTGACTCTGGGTGGCATACAACAATTAAATAAAATAACAAATGGATAAATAAAATAACAAATTCCTCCCATTTTCTCTTGTAGCCTGCCGTTTCTTTATCTTCAAAAGATCTTTATAATTTTTTTTTAATCTTAAGTAATTTAGAAGCACTGAATGAATTTTCCTGGCAAAAGGAAGTTATTGCATTTAAGAGAAACTTTTTAGCCTTAATGTAATCATTATCATTTGGACCTTTTATGTGCACAAACACCATTAGCTGTTGAAAATCTTATCAGGGAGACTTAGAGATTAGTAATAATTGACTGATACAGTGACATTACTTGTTCATATGAATCAGCTGAGCAAATCTGGATATGCATTTGAAGCAGGGATTCTGAAGTCAAAAGCCCAGACATAACTTTAGCCAGACCTTGAGACCATTTGTTCTGTACTCACCCCTTTGTTGTTATATGAATGGAGCAGTAGGCTACTTCTAATGATTCAAGATTTGTTTTAGTCGGCCCTGGCAGGGTGCCAGAATGTAAACTCCCCTTTTATGTCACCCTGACAGTGCCATTAAGTATAATTAGATCTAAACTGTCCATAAATTGAGCCAAATGGAATCCTGCAATATTACAGTTTTGGTCTTTAGACTGTCTGGCTGATAAGTAGCCCACATCAGTTTTAGGGGTCACCGGTCATTTAAAATAAGTTTGCAGGGAGGCATCAGATTGGCCAATACGTGCATTAAAGCCACCGGCTATTATAATTATAGAGTCTGGGTATTGATATAATAGCAAATTTATGTAAGTATCAAATTGATCCCATAAATTATTTATTTCCCTATGCCCACAAACTGGGGGGAAATATAGATTAACAAGTAAGACAGCATAGAGTTTAAATCTGAGTAGGAGGGGTAGAGCTACATTTGAGCAAGACTCCAGCATAAATACTGGGACATTAAGTTTAATAGAAACCATAGAACTTAGGCCACCTGATGGTCTGCCCTTTTTTGTACTGGGTACTGCATTCAAAATAAAAGGGAATATATCCAGGTATTGATAAATCCTGTGTAGCCCATGTTTCTTGAAACAAAAGAATATCAAAGGAAGAAATATATTCCATGAATGAAACATCTGACATCTTTGCTTTCCAGCCTGCAACATTCCAGGAGAGGATAGAGATGCCTCTTTCTGTAAGATAGAGTCATTCGGAGTCTAAGGGGACTATCAGTAAATTAGATGGACATACTGAGTTTTTAATCAGTACAGGTATGAGGGTATTTGAGATATGCTCTACACCCTCTGATATCTGGAACGGGGGCAGAGTTGAAGTTTCATCTAGCATTGTCTGTTGTAACATCACCTGGGTTTGGGGGGTAACTTCCAGTTAGATGATTTTAGAGCTTGCGGTAGCAGTATCCAGATCTAAATTTTGGGGAAGAAGACTAGTAGGCCCCAAGGGGTGTAATAAAAGGTCATCATGTAGAGATCCAAAGAGCATTGTTCACCATTTGTCTATGGTATAGAGAATACTTTCTCCTCAATAGTTAACAAGGTCTGGCACTTTCCAGCAGGCTCCCCATTCATCCCATAAGGACAGGAACAAATAATATTTGGAGATTTCCAATCATTCCATTATCCACCGAAGAATGGCAATTGGTATTAGTGTTTGGAGACACAAGGTTAATAAGTGGCTCTGCTTATTATTATAGTTTCCAGCTTATATTACGTTGTTCATTCCTGGGCAGAGAACCAAAGGCACTGATAAGGCCAGTTTCAGCTGGATCTGACACATCTTCATTTAGTAGGAATGGCTGACTTCCACTGCCTTGCTTTTTCAAGGCCATATGATGGGGAGAGGAAGGCTTGCTGACATCTGTTAAAGTTTTGGAGCAGGTACAAAGTCTAGATGAGGCAAAGCTGGATGAAGAATGAACTTTTACATTGCGAAAGACTCTAATGGGGAAAATTTGAAATGATGCTAAGTATGGTCTCATCTTAAATAGCATTAGTGAGATAGTAGACTGATTAAAAGATAGCAAAATCCATTTTTGGTTTTGAACAGTTGGAAGCCATTCAACGGCACAGATCTGTCTGTACTGACAGTGAAGAAGTTGCCCTTGGGAGATTCCAACTGCTCTCCTAAGAATCCCCGCGTCCAGTATTGAGAGTGTTCAGGGAGATACAGAGAGCAATCTGTTGTGTCTGAAGTGAATGGTTTAGCTTGCAGGAAATTGCCTCTTTTGTATCCAGAGGGGTGTTAGTATGTATAAGGTCACTACTCTTTACCTTGCCAAGAGTAAGGATTTATTAATACAATCATCTGACTATTGCATAATTTTGTCAGTTTGTTTTATTTTAATGATTTGCCCTGTATCAGAACACATGCCGGGAATGTATTTCTTTGCTGAGGCTTCTGCATAAGCCTTATTGGAAGTAGCAGGTCCGGCTTCGTATTTTTGAACAAAAGCCTCAAAAAAAATTTTCAGCGAGACTAGGTCATATTTTATAGCCAACAGCTGCTCAAATGACAAGATAGCAGTTTGTGCTGTAAGAACATTGCTTTACCATAAACTCTGTTGAATTTTCCCACGGGAGCTTCTCCAAATTCTGATTTTGTATTTTATTTTTAAACTTATTTTTATTTTCCTTGAAGTTAGCAGGTGAGCTAGCAAGTTGTACTGGAGACATACAATGGGAGACTGGGATGGAATCCAAATTTTCATTTAGCTCTTCCCTGACAGATAGTGAGAGATCTAACAATTGTTATTTTTCCAGTTCTGTTTGAAAGTCCCATTAAAGTGATTCAAGGGCTGCAGATTTGTTGGAGGTGGGAGGGAAATTTGTTTTACTTACAGATTCCTTTTGTATAAAATGGTCTTCTATCTTTGGTTCTTTGGCAGACTTTGATGAGAAGAGAGATCCCGGACTGATGCCATGCCATTTCTTTCTTTTTCCCATGTTGTTCAGATCCACACAGACTCTTTTGCTTGCACCTTTTGCCTCCATGATCGTCTTGCCATAAAAAGTTGTGAGTATATTTAAAATAGTCTAATAAGTCCAGTAAAAATCTAATAAAATCTACAATAACCTAGTATACTTAAACTAAACTAAAACTAACTAAAAAAACACAAAAGTAGCTAAAATATGCTATTTAAGAATTATATAAAATTAAAAGGAGTGGGAGTGTAGAAAAACATGTGTTGCTGGGTTGCTATTTTGGCTCCACCCTGGGTTCAGATCCAGATTTCCCTATCCTGGAGTACACATTTATCTTGACGGGTCACTGTTGCTCAATGTAGCTCTTCAGATATCTGGAGATTTTTCCATTCAGAGAGAGTACATTTTATTCACACAGCCTACAAGGTCCTTCTTGCTAAGATTATTTCACACCTTCTTTATGGGGTTCAGATTTGTATTTTTACAAAACTTAATACCCTGGAAGCTATCCAGTCCAAGTTTATAAAAGCTATCTTTGCAGTTCCAAGCTGCATCAAGAATGCTGCTTACAGCTAGAGATAGGTTTGGTTTCCGTGAGTGCCAGAGCCTGGTATTATCACATTAATTGCTAGTTAAAATTATTATTTTTTCCTTGTGGCCCCATTGGTTCTCAGAGACCATTTTAAATCAACTTGGATAACAAGAGCTTAAAGCAAACTTCAGTCTCTAGGACTTTCTTTGGAGAGCCTCTGCCATTAGGGTTTGAAAATGCCAAGAGTCATCTTAAGCAGAGTATCTGGGATAGTGATTTCCAAATCAGTCTAAGTCTAGTATTCAATCCCACAGTCCATGGATTCACCTTGACCAAGTTGGACACACTACCCTTCTCAATCCTGTGGGGGTGTTATAAATATCCCTCTTCAGCAGCGCAGTGCCCATGTGGGGATGGTTCTAAGGAGTCTCTGCACCATGTTTTTTTCTTTACAGGGAATTTCTGATGACATTCATCTATCCCATTCTACAGAAATATTCTGGCAGAGAGTATGATGCTTATTTGTCATTGCTTCTGTCTGACCAGGACTCTGATGTATCTTCCGAGGTTGCTAAATTCTGTGCCTCTATATATTCTATTCCTCCAATTTACAACTAGTGATTAGTGCTGATCTTGGTGATTGCCACTATTATTTGTACTATTTGTTTTATTTGCAGTGTTTTCTTTATAACAGTCCTGTATTTTACATTTACTTTTTATTCATATGTATAGATTTAGGTATATGTGTTTCTCTATATACACATTTGGTCTATATTGCATTTTCTGGCTCAAAAACTGTAATAAAGGATTGAGTAATCCTCACAAAACATAGGTAAAATAGATAATGAGAGAAAGACTGAATAATTACAACTGGAAAAACAATTCCTATCCTTTTTGTGATTGAAAATATTTGGATTTATACAATCATTAAATCATTCTGTTGGATCCTTTTTTTAGTAGTATTTTAAAGCATATATCTAGTCTGCTTAAATCCAACTGAACAAAGCAATTACTTCCTAAGAAAATTAAGACTATATATTCTTGAATCCATCTTCTTTCTTATCTCCATAATCAATGAACAGTTAAGTTTGAATGCAAGATCTGTAGATCCCTGCTATAAAATAATGGTATGTGCCATCTTAGGGCCAATGAACTATTAAGAGCCAATTAAAAAGTTGAAAGCAATGGCTGGGTTGTAAATCAACTACAAATTGGTTTGAATGGAAAACTGAATATGAGGGGTCAACAGCTGAGCGAAGTATTATACTATCAGAAATAAATTAATTAAAAAATGTGGAAGAATGAAGATGCAAGAGCAAGAAGAGCAAGTTGCTATCAGCCAGCCAGTGGAAAGCAGTGTGGTTTGGGGATATGCAAAATTCCAGCATCTGAATCAGAATCTCCAAAAAACAATACAGAGGAACCTCTGCTCTACCAGTCCTGAAACAAGGACAAAACTCCTGTGGACCCACCCTTTTGTTCTTAAAAGAAATCAAATATACTCTCTGAAGAAGTCCAAGTGAATCTAATTTTCATTCAATCTGAGAACATAAATTGGACAGAGATTAGGTCAGAAGGAAAGTCCATGGATACTCTACTTTCAGGGAATAATATATTGAGTCTACATGCCTCCATATTTGCACCTCTAATTAACTTTAAAATACAACAGTAATGAACTTGGTTTTCCCTCTTTCCAGCTGCTTCACCCAAAGACTGTCACAAAAACAAAGAAGCCTGATTCTGAAAGAACACAAATATTACTGAGAGAAGAGCGTTAGTCTTGTTGACTCTCAATATATAACTTTAGCCATAGCTTAATTAATTTTCAGTACCTATAACCACTCTAATCCCAAAGGAGTCTGGGTAATGTACAGCATCAGAATAAAAGAAAGCATAGCAACAAAACTTAAATCAAAATCTATATCAGAGATCAAATAAAAAGACACTCACAACAATGAAGCATGCTGAAATAATAGATTCAACGTCTTTAAGGGATTACTATGAAGTGGCCACTGCATATACTTCTGGGAGAAAGAATAGTCCACAAAGTGGAGGTTACTATAGAGAGGAAGGAGGATTTTGAACAGGCTCTTTCTAGATGACTGGACCAGATGAAAAAGCTAGCAGTGATGCAGGCCTGTGAATAAAATTACTATTTGAAGAGTTTTAAGTGCTATAGTAGCACTGAGAAATCTTTGCATCAGGGAGATGCTACTGCTGGTAGAATTAGCTGCAAGTGTCCATTAATTGGCACTGTTTAACCCTAACCCTAGAGTCCATTTCATTATTTTCATTTTCACTTAGCTGGCAGGGATGAAAAACTAAATGGAAGGGACAAATGGTTATAAAATATTAGAAATGTGATCTATGATGATTCAATTAAAACCCAAATGTTTACAAAATAACTAGTCATTTTCCACAGCAGTAACATAGCTAGGGCCTTGTGACTTAGAGCATATGCAATAGTGATATGGCAGCTCAGAGTTTTCTGGCCCACCCACCCAGAGCCATTTGGTATAAGTCAAGAGTATCACCGGCAAGATAGATCATGAAACAGTCTGATTGAAATCAGACTACTTACTTTGACAATCAACTAAAAAAATTAGTTGTGGCTCAGTTGTATAGATAAATAAACATTTTTCTGTAGCATAAAAGGGTCAAAACAGTTACCTAAATGAGGCAACTGATTCTCACATCACTTTGTCCAAATAGCGTACAGACCTCTCTCTTTAGACTTTCTATGGTGAATTCACAACCCTTCGGTACTGTTGCTACAATCCCATATCAGGTTCTTTTGGTTCTGATTTCTGAGTTTCCTGAATACAATGCATGGTGAATGTCATGAACTAGGTTCCTCAGAAATTCCAAAGGTTCATTATAAATCTCTTTTGAATCACCTCTTGTATCCTGTAGTTAAGAACAGCTTGGTTTTATAGAAAATTGGAATTGCCTTGTGCTGCTCCCAAGAATAGCACTCTTACTTATAAATTATTACAAACATATAGGACTGAGTTGACCAAAAATATAAGAGTTCCTGGGGAATGTACTAGCAGAGGTATATTGTTTGGGCTGGCAATAGGATGCTGAATACATATTCATCAACTAAATTACAATTAAGCATACTCACTTGCTCTACGTGGGGTTTCTTGGCAAAAGAGATCCTTGCTACTGAGTGGGAAGCTATAGAAAGCTCTTGCCCATTTACCTCTCCCTCTTCTACCTCTACCAAACCTACATTAAAAAAAAAAAATTAATATCCATATAATTCAAAAAACTGTAACAACTACACCTCCAAACTAGTTGTTTATGAGAACAAAAACATAGACAGCAGAATATTTTCTAAGTGCTTTCAGAGAAATCAAGTTCAAAACTGGGATTAAAAACAACTAATGCAATAAGATTAATACCTGTGTTCTGAGCACTAATGAAGGCCACCTTGTTAGTGTCGGGTTGGATGCGGATAAATCCACATTCTCGATGCATTGGTTTCTTGGTGTCTGGATGGAAGGCATTGAAACTGTTGGGATAAAAAAAAACAATACGATCTGCATGCTTCTGTTAACAAATCCACATAAATCAGAATTTATTGAGCCATTTCCCCCAATATCATTTGCATGAAAGGAATGTGAATGGCATTCTCATACACTCTCTTTAAGTAGAAAACCTGAAGTACTATTTAAGCAGTACAAAAATTTAAAGAAATATATATTCTTGTCTCAAGATAACTGAAGCAAGACGGAGATACTTCTTCCTGCTAGAATTTTGGGTCATTTTTACAATTTCCTTTCAGCAAATCATTTGCCAATGTCATTAGATAACTGTCAGAATATCTGACATGCAACATTACAGAAATTCAGAGACAGATATTTGAAAGTAGTGGGATGGTTGCTTTTTTTCCCCCGTATGCACAAAATGTCCCAAATTATTGTTCATTAAAAACATTGTTGATCATCTTAATCAGTTCTTAAATGTTAATATTAGTAGAAAGTGCTATTTCTACACAACTGATCCAAAAGTGATGTAGGCAGAAAACCATGCTTTCCCACATAACCTTCTTGTTCCCTCTCCCACATGCATGATGTGACAGAATAGTTTCCTGTACTTTAATACTTCCAAGCTACACAAAGCAAGGTTAGTTGCTCATGTCTAGCTTAGATGGTTCTTAAAAAGCTGTGCAAACAATCTAAAAATCCAACAACTCCCTCAAGCTAGTCCACAAGAGTTAAAATGTTTCCAATAATTCAAAATCCATATTTCAGCTGGGCAACTCCGCAGAAAGTCTCATTACAAGCAGGATTGTCACATGGCAGAATATAGTCCACAGCACACACCCCAGGTCACTTTTTCAGGGCTATAAATTAGATTTTGACCTATACAATTATGAGTAAAAGAAAAAAAAATAGAGAACATAATTGAATACCGAGTTGGAATTACTAAAAAATGTTTGTACACACAATATACTAGTGAATGTATTTTCAACCTTTTCTGCAATGTTTCAAACCTAATAATAATAATATCCACTGTACAATATTTCCAAACTTTTATTTTACCAAAACCCAAAATTTCAAAGTTTCCTTTTCTGTTTGTACATGTGTCTCTTAAAAGTTCCTATCTCTAAAGACCTGGAAAATTACTGATATTTCAGAAAATTATTGAAAGATTGAGAAAGAAGTGAACCATGCTTTTGGTCCCACCCATTCTTATTTGGTTCTGAAAAAAAAAAGCGTTCAACATGATATCCGGAAACCCAAGTTTCATATTCTGCACTACAATTCTTGGTATGTACCTGGAAGCTTATTTTGCCTCCTATAATGTTCAAAATATTTAAGTAGATAGGCTTAACTGCATTGCTAACAAAGAGAACTAAATGAGTCAAAGTCTATATGGCAGTGGCTTAGGAAAAAAACTGTAGTTTAGAAGAGGGGTTTCTTCTAAAATTTAGTGGATCAGTGTTCTATTTAGCTAATATTTTCCCTATACCTCATTGATGTTTAGGAAGTCAATAAAGCAATAGATTATTCACCACAGATTGTTTTAGGTGTATTCTTCTCAAAGGACATGAAAAAAAGAAAACTCACGAGAAATTCAGCATGGGTTGACCAACGTGAGAGATGTGTACTTCTTCAAGGTATTGAAAGGGCTTCATTGAAGGGAAGGTACCATCGCCTGGTGGGTCTGACAGCCAAGTGCCCAGCATCCAGGAGAGCGGTTCAATCACAGGATTCAACTGCACAGTTTCTAAAGGAATAAAGAATCTGATTCAACTCCACCATATTTTTTTGAAAGTATGGTATAAGCAGGATATGCTTAGTTAATATATTGTACAAAATTCCAGAAAAAATTATAAATTAATAGGTAATCATTCTTATATCAGCTTTTAAATTGCAAAATAAGATAAGATTAAATGGCAATTTCATTGCTCATAATAATGTATTCTAAAAGCTTTATTAAAAATGTATACTTT